TATTTTATGACATTTTTGATCACAAACACATTTTCTAGTTTTTTGAAGCTCCACTTCTAAATCAAATGAAGTATTTAGAAGGAAGGCCCTACACTAAAACAGACCATGAGAGTCAAGATCTACAAATAAATCACAATTCAAAACACACAAACCCCTCCAAAACCACTGTGATGATGAGGCTCAGCCTGGCCTCACTGAACACTTCCCAGCCCCACCAATCCCTGAGGAGGGGCCCTGTGCTCACAACTGCTGTGCTACAGCAATGAAGGAGTTAAAACAGAGCCCCTGCTCTGTGTAACTGTGGACATGAAGGGGGTCTCAGGGTACCACACTTTCCTCCCTCAGTGTTCTGGGGAGCTGTGGGGCAAACAGCAGCACAGGGACACAAGAGGAGGGAGCTGCACAGGAGAAGGGAGCCCTACAGGAATGGGGCAAGGGCAGCACAGCATCTCTGCACCCCAGGGAAGAATTCACAAGGGACAGGCTTCCACTCCACCAGCAACTGGGAAAATCAAGGATTAGAAAACAGAGTAAGATTAATAATTTACAGCTCACTTACAAAGGCTTTCTTTGTTAGGGCTCTATTCAAAACCATCCACATCCATGAGTAGTCCTGGCTGAGCTGTACAAACAACATGCAAGTGCTTCATATGTTCATGAGTGCATTCATGTGGAAGTGCTGGGAAGCTGCAGGGCCAAATGCCCTGTGCTAAATCACAACCACAACCACGCCTGCTCACATCAAGTGCTTGCATGAGTCTACCAAAAGCAAAACAAAATTAAAGATTTAATCCCATTTAGACAGATGCACATTAACTCGAAAAAGGTGAAAAAGAGAACATTTCTTTCAATCCAGGTAACAGCTAAGTTAATTATCTTACTTTTAAAAATAAAAGTTAACTGGTTTGTGTTGGATGCTCTGATACCAAAAGTAAGGTCGACCTATCAAAAAAACAGGAGCAAAAAGGGAGTAAAAAACAAGAAGAAACTTTCAACCCGTACTCAAAGCAATTTTAATTGGTATTTACTGAAGGAACACGCTCCAAGGTGATAATGTCTATTTGAAAAAAACCACAACAAATATGAGAAGTCCTTTCTGGACAGCATCCTTTCCAACTTGTACTGTACCATTCTTCCTTCTTTCCCCATAAAATTCCACTGCAGTGCAACTCCATCCATTGACTTGCTCATATCTCAGTTCAAAGGGGAAAAAAGTAATAAAAATTAATTTCATCCAGCTAAATATTTTGGCAGATATTGTGCACTAAAAATATACACCATAATTTAGAATAAATGTTCCAAATCAGTTCAATCCTTGCTCTCTCCAAGCATCATCATGAAATTTAGAACTTGTATTCCTAAACCTTGTTAACACATGTATGACCTTGATCAAAAAACTGTATTTTTAGTTTCTTTAAGCTGCAAAACTAAAACTGCATCATAAAAAGGGCAACAGCAGGTCTGCCAAGCCAACTTAATGTTTTAAAGTTGTTTTTTTACAAGACTATGCTTTGTACATCTGGAAAAGAAAAATTAAGAGGATGCTCAATCAGCTATTTGCAGCCTTGATGGAAATAAAACTTGGATGTTCCCAGTATGATGTTTATAAACAGCCCCAAAGTTGTGGATACTGAGTCATGTCTGGCTTTGGCTTGCCCTCAGCTGAGGGGATGTTACAGGGGTGAGCAGGCACTGTGAGCACTGTGCTGGCACCCCTAGCACTGCTGCAGTGTTGATGCACAAGCACAGCACAGACTGTGCAGGCAGCCCCAACACCACTCAGCACTGCACATGGCACAAGGGATTTCTCCCAGGCTCTTCCCTATCTTCCCTCTCCCTTTCTTTCTTTCTCCTTCCTTTGTTCTGTTGTTGTTTTGGGTTTCTTTACTCTCCATCAGGGCAACAAACCCCTGCAGCCCTGGCTCCCCAGAACCCCAGGAAAGACCATGGACTGTGCCTCAGCAGCTGCCTCCTGATCCTGGGGAGGTTTCCTCACTTTCCTCACTGCTGCCTGCACGTGTCCTGGAGGTTTCCCTGAAATCACAACATGACCCCATGTGCAACTGCCCATTCTCCTGAGCTCTGTGGTAATAACGACCTTGGAAGGGACTGCAAGCACTTCCCTGTCCTTAGGAAGAGGTGCACTGCACTGCCCAAATTCAGCCACAACACCAGTAAGTGGCTAAAAAGGATGATGTTAAGTGAAGCAGGGTGTACAATGTGACTTTAGAAATGCAGGCAAATTAATTTTTAAGTATGAATCCCTTCTGTATAGATTTTCCATTACCAGGGATAAAATTAAAGAAGTGTCTGCTTAACTGGGAAAAGAACATAATATAAACCCTAAGGAAAACTAAGTATATTCCTTCCCTTGTATCCATTACTGTGAGCTTACAAAGCTTGCTTTCTTTAATGAGCACTTGCCTGCTAGAAGTGATGAATATTTCAGATGCTCTTTCAAAATAAACATAGAGAACCTAATACAGTATTTATGGCACAGATGAATTTCCTAAACGAGCTGCCCAATAACCAGAAAGGAGCATTAAGACATGAGTATAGAAAACTATAAATAGTACACAAAAGGTACAGTGTAATAGTGTGCATCACTTTTAGTCCTGTTTTTATCTGTCCAACCCATTTGCAAGTGGAAAGCACTGCTTATTTTCCCCTGTACAGAATCTGTGAATGGCCTGGTCCTCAGCAGCACAGTTAGAACATGAACCCTCTAAGTAAATAAACGTGCATCTATCAAAACTTAGGAGCGTCAGGAAAAAACCCAAAGCTCCATGTATTATTGGAAAAAAGTACTACAAATCCTCCTTTAAGGAGTCTAAGAATACTACTTGAAGAAAATACAAATTAAAAAGGACACATCCTGTTTGAATTTTGAAAACGTCAGTGGTCAGATGCCCTCAGCCACTACCAATCATAAAATCAAACATTGAAGTCATAATTCAACAGAGAGGACAACACCCCTTTACATGGTGTCCCAGCAACAGCAGAAACCAGGTTAGAGCCATGGAGCACAATGCCACATTTCTAAAAATGCCCTAGGAAAGAAGTCTGCAATGTATGCAGCTTTTTTGAAGTTTCCTGCAGCTGACAGAGCTGCAGTGGAACTTAGATACCCAACCTCCCTTCTCCCATCCAAAACCAAAGGCAACCCCAATGCAGCATTGCATGGGATGCCTTCAGAGCTACTGTGCCTTCCTGGGGGGATGCAATGAGACAAACTCTTAGGAAGTACACCCCAGCACTACAAAACAAATACAAATACTAGAAAACACAAACCTAAAACCAAAGGGGAATATCACAGAATCAGTTCAGCAAAGAGAAAGTCAAACCATAAACCAGCCCAGGTCCAACAACTGACGTGGATATTACACACACAGAACCAGACAAGCCTTTCCATTCAAGAGTCAAGGGTGGAAAAAAACTCTTCAGAAGGGTTTTTGGAAAGGACAGGAATGACAGACTCCTATTCCATAGCAACCTGCTGGGCCATCACATCACAAACAGTGGCAAAATGCACTCAAGAGGAAAATCTCAAGACCAACCATGAGCCATGACTGCAGACAGACACCCATCTGTCTGTGACCAAAAAACCACATTTTCCACTCTTTGCCAGAACAGGCATCACACCAATTACACTTAGAAACTGACTCCTTTACAAACACTCCTTATTTTGCATGCTACTGTCAACAGCACAAAAGACAGAATGAGCAAACACTTCAAGTTATAGCTACACCCATGTGGTATATTACAAAGAGCAACAGTATTAAAATGAATAATTAAAATCATACCCAGAACAACAAAAATACAAATATTTCAATGGCTTATTTTAATGCAGAAAAAGCCCACTAACATTTGCCAGTGTTGTAAAACCACAATTAGTTTGCACAACTACTCCACATGAAAAGACAGACACCATTCAGGGTTGGACAGGTTATCTGCTCCTTATTTAATCTTAACTTTGGTTTGTCTAACCAAAGTTTCTGTAACTGTAACAATGACAACACAACTTTTAAGAAATTGGGATGTTTTCAAGTAAAATGACACTACAGACCAGTCAGCACTTAAAAATACTATATCCAATAATTTCTGAAATTTTAGTGTACTGAAACAATACTAAACTATCTTATTACATTTAGCTAGAATAGTTCAACAAAGTAAGTTTAACAACATACTTTTTGTTTGCATTTTCACTAGCTTCATCTTATCCATACCATCCATCCATCTTGCCCCATTCATCCTCCAACTTGTTTGCAACAACAAAATTAATGACTTATTTCTATTCAAAACATTCTAAAGATTAACTGAGAGAAGCAATATCAATATACTACCTGTTACTTAAAAAAAACAAACCCAAACAGCCCCAATCATTAGCCATGAGTGCAGCAAGCCTATATTTTGGTATAAAAACTAAGATATTTGCATTTGAAAGACCAATCTTTTGTTATCATGAAAGATAGCCATTTTAAAAGTGTGGAAGGAATATGTTACCACTGAAACTGAAGGTTGTTGTAAGTTTACAGGATTTTCAGTTTCAGTTGAGGTATTCTAAAGTTTAAAGAAAGGGAGGATATCAAAACTTCAGTAAAGTAGGTATAAAAATTCCACTTTTGTTAACTTGGCTCGCAGTTTAACGTTGACTTCCCCCATGAAATTTCAGCTGCCATAAAACCTGTATGCTAAAAACATTTAACTGTTACGTTTGAAAGTATAAAACTAGGAGCAGAAGAAATTAAAGGGAACGTTCAAGCAAGGGAAAGCAAACTTTTGGTCTGCAGACTTGTGCAGGGAGGCTCAAATATGTCTACAACATGCTGGAGAGAAAGAGGAAAGAAAGGACATGTTCTGTGCTTTTAAAATTAGCTAATCTGCTTAATAGCTGGAAAGCGCCGCTACCCAGCGTTTAACCCTTTGCCTTCCTGGGCCGTATGACAAGAAAATGCTGCTCAAAACGGGAGGGGATAAATATCAAAGCAATCATCGGTTACCTTTAAAACTCTTTGCTTCCTCCTCTGAGGCCTTTTGTTTTCTGTTAGGACCTAAAAAAACATCAAATTGCAGAATATAAGTTGTGGTCACAAAGGCAGGCAGCCACCTCCATATGATTTATATGGAACAGCGATATTTCTGCAGTACCCCGAGTGCTTTACACGCGGCCCTTCCACGGGCCGGCGGCGGCTCCCGGCGGCCCGTCCGCCGCCCCCGCGGCGCCCCTCACATGGCGGGCGCCCCGCGTTCCCCCTCACGGCGGCGGCGCCCCTGCCCCGCCATCTTTGCTTCCTGCCGCAGCGGCGGCCGCGCGCGGCCCCGCGGGAGCGCGCAGCGCCGCGCAGCGCCCCCCGGCGGCCGCTCGCCCGCCCGCCCGAACAAAGGGGCTCCGCAAAGGCCGCCCGCAAAGGCCGGCACGGACCCGCCGCGCCCCGGGCGCGGCCCAGGCGGTGCGGGCCGCCCGCCACGGGCACCGGGGCCGGGGTGGATGGGCTCGGCTGGGGCCGCGAGGAGAACGGGGTCAGGCGAGGACATGGGCCCCGCGCACCCGCACGCGTGCGCACACCGCCGCGCACCGGGCGGCGCAGCCCCGACCCAACCCTGAGCGGCACCGGGCGTGCAGCACCGGGCACCGGGCGGCACAGTCCCGGCCTTCTCCTGAGGGACACCGGGCGTGCAGCACCGGGCACCACAGCCCCAACCCTCTCCTGAGCGTCACCGGGCGGCACAGCCCCGGGCACCGGGCGGCGCAGCCCCGACCCTCCCCTGAGGGGCACCCGGCGTGCAGCACCGGTCAACCACAGCCCCGGCCCTCTCCTGAGCGGTACCGGGCGTGCAGCGCCGGGCACCACAGCCCTGGCCCTCTCCTGAGCGGCAGCGGGCGTGCAGCACCGGGCACCGGGCGGCACAGTCCCGGCCCTCTCCTGAGCGGCAGCGGGCGTGCAGCGCCGAGCAACGGGCGGCACAGCCCCGACCCTCTCCCTGAGGGGCACCGGGCGGCACAGCCCCGGCCCTCTCCTGAGGGGCACCGGGCGGCACAGCCCCGGCCCTCTCCTGAGGGGCACCGGGCGGCACAGCCCCGGCCCTCTCCTGAGGGGCACCGGGCGTGCAGCGCCGGGCAACGGGCGGCGCAGCCCCTGAGGGGCACCGGGCGTGCAGCACCGGTCACCACAGCAAAGGGCCTCTCCTGAGGGGAACCGGGCGGCATAGCCCCGGCCCTCTCCTGAGCGGCACCGGGCGTGCAGCACCGGGCACCGGCGGCCGGATCGCCCTGCAAAGAGTGAAATCGCCGCTCCCCGGTGCAGGCCGCAGCACAGGGCCTGCCTTCACCTGCTCTCCCCCAGCCGAGCGGCCGCGGCGGCAGCAGCCCCTCCAAAATGCCAGCCCGGGGCCGGGAGCCCAGCGCCCGCCGCACTCCGCGGGCCCGGTCCAACAGCACCTACTCCTACAGCACTGTGAAAAATGCGAATTTTATGACTGGCTTTTTGCAAATATTCAAATTAATATTATATGTGTTGTGTTAGAAAGTAATGCTGTATTAATTCTCTTAAGTAGTGTGTTAAATATAGTTGTGGGTTATAAAAAAACGTTAAAATAGAAACTATGCTATGTAAGATCCTTTTTTTAAAGAAAGGACTTGCAGCGAAACATCAGCCACAGGACACCTAAATCTTTCCAAGAAAAATAATTTATTACTCTCTTATCAGAAGAAACCAACTTCTTCCCGCCTCGAAGGCACTGTTAGGAATCAGAGGAAGAAGTTGACATGACCAGACAGAATCCTGTATTTTAATTGAATTTATGCATAATGTATGAAGTGTATGAATATGCAACAGGCTGTTGTTTTTAAGGGTTAATCCTCTGTTAATGTGGGTCCTTTTTCGGGCCTGTGCTGCCCAGAAAAGGTACCCAGATGTCCGTAACTCTTTGTCCTAATTCAAATTGTCCAAATTATTATTACTCCAATTGTATTACTATTTTTATAACCATTTTATTACTATTAAACTTTTAAAACTTTAAACACAAGTGATTGGCGTTTTTCAGAAGCACCCAACAGAACAAATTCCTGCACATGGACTGCCATGGGAACTGGCCACCATATAAACATCAAGTGCAATTGTTTCCCCACAACTCCACCTGCTCCACACATTGGAGGGGCCACACTGAGCCCTCATTCCCTAACCAGGGACATCAAACCAACCACAGCAGATCTCAACACTGCAGGCACCCAAGCACTCCCTGAATTCCCAACAATTCACAGTTGACATCTAAACCAGAATGTTGGCCATGGATTTATGCTCTAAAGATAAAAACCAGTAAGAACACCTTCACATCAGCTACAAACTGCAATCTGTTTTTGTATCTAATGCTACACTGTAATGTAATTACTGTCCACTTATTGGTCCAAATCAGTTAAACAGCAGAAATGCTCAGACGTGGACACACAACTCATTCCCCAGTGTAGCAATTAAATCAGAGAAAGCTGTTGCCCATTTTTTTGTTGTCTGATGCTACCTTGTATCTAAGCTCTTCATTTGTTGCATCAGAATGATGTATTAAATAGGATTTAGGATAAGGCAAAATTAAAATACTGATTTGTATTCTTTCCCCCAAATAGCCCATATCTGCAAGGGTCATTTTTGCACATTAAGAATGAGAGAGTGGAAATCACACACACTTAGTGATCTGATTCTTCTTGGTAGTTTGGCTACTTAGATGCTTTTCAATACAGGGGGAAAAGGAACTATTTTGTTTGTTTAGAAACCTAAGACCCCATATTGTGATTTAGTCCCCAGACTGGTGCAAGCACTGGACAGCAGTTTCAGGTTCCCTTGTAACCTCATGTTACAGGCCCTCAGACACAAGGAAGGAAAGAAACCTCTTCAAATAATTTCCCCATAAAAGCTTTAAGAACCTACACAGAAAATAAGGAGCAGTGAAGAGGCAATTTGTTAAATATAGCCTCTGAAAATAACTAGAGCACAAACTAATCCATCTCACTGTCATTTAGCCTGCATTATGGTCCACACCCAGGAACACAGAATGGCAAAGTGCTGTGAGCTGTAATTATTATACACTCCCACAGAGTATGAGTGTCAGTGAAAAATGCAAGCAAACTGCACAACTCCAACTCCCTGCCCTGCATCCGTGGGGCAGGGAAGGCTGCATGCAGCCCTGCTCATCACACACATTCCCAAACTCCTCTAGCTGTGTGCTATCCCCTTACAAAACTCTCAAGTATCCTACTCAGGAGTGGTTTTATGTGCACCCATTTTAAAATTCAACTGGCTTAAATATTTCTGGAGTCTATTGTAAAATAAATACCACTAAGTCTAAATTTCTTGATTATAGCTGGGCCTGGCTAGAACACAAGAATTCCATTTTCCTTTTTTTTTTCTTTCAGATTTCAGCTCTTGATTTTGTTCCAAAGCAGAGCAAAACTTTCAAAATTCAAGAGGAGACAGATGGGATGTGGGAGACCAAAGTTCAAGCCCCTGGTCTGCATCAGGCAAAAATCCCTTACCACCAACACATTGTAATAATTCTCACCCCTTTTTAAGTTTTAAACAGAAATTGCATTTCTCAAGCCTCGAGAAACTTCCCCCAAAAAATAGTTGCATTAAAACAGATAGTAGCTGTGAAAAGTTCCTGTTCATTCAGCATTTTCCATTCAAGGAATGGCTACTGGAAAGCTCCCAAGCAACTTGAATTGCAGCATCCTTTTTCAATATGTCGGGGTTTTTCGGCAGCGTGTTAAAAACCCACAGACAAGCAGGCCCTTATTGTTATTTAATATTTCATGCTACTCAGATTACAGCAATTAAATAAGATGTCTTGAGACACCTTGGGCAACCCAAGTGAACTCAGTGACCTCATTGTTTTGGCCAGTTTGTTGACTACAGCTCCCCTAAATCTAACTATTTAGTTCTAATAAGAATTAAAGCTCTCCCCAGCAGGTGGTTTCAACCCAAGAGGGCTCCCTGCCTAGGCAGGACCCTAAAATGTGGGCACCTTGCCTTGACAAGCCCTGCAAAATGATGCCTCAGGGTTTAGCTTTTATATTCTCAGATTCTGTGCTGGTTTAGTGTAGTTCTGGGTTTCATATTAGGGGATGGTGAGCTCTCTTCACAGCGCAGGAGACAAAATAATTCCTGCTCTAGCTGGGGACCAAGGACAAATGATCCAAATCTCAGCCCAAGGGCATAAACACCATGGGCTGGAGAGAGAAAAACAAGCAGGGTGGGACTGCATGGGCTAAAGATGGAATTGGACAATGAACTGCAAGATGCAAATGGGGCAGAACTTATAAAAGTGAGAGACCCCGTGACTTGTTGTGCATTTTGTGGCCATTTTGGGTTGTGCTGCCCAAGGTGGATCTGAGGCCTTTAAGAAATTCCTACTTTATTCTTTAGCTCCATCTAGTTTCTGTTCTAGGCCAGCCTTCTGAAGGCATCAAAAAGCAGCCCTGGAGATGAGGGCTCCCCACACTGCCAGCTCAGCAGCAGCCCTGGGAGTTCAGGGCCCTTTGGGAGCTGGGGGGTCACAAATCCCTACAAGGGCAGCCCAGAACTGGAGCTCCCAGCCTGACACCCCTGTGGGCAGGGCAGCAGCTCCCCCAGGACAGCTCCAGTGAGCAGGGGCCCAGAACTGGAGCTCCCAGCCTGACACCCCTGTGGGCAGGGCAGCAGCTCCCCCAGGACAGCACCAGTGAGCAGGGCCCCATCAGCAGCGGCTCCAGGCTCTGTCTGCAGCATCTGCCCGGCCAAAACAGGAATCCTTTGGCCATGGAAAAAAGAAAATAAACCATGAGCCACCTTTCCTGTCCACATGCTACTTTTGAAGCCTACAAAATCCTCACCCCACACTGCAACTCATGAAGGCAGTCCTGATAGTATGCAATGCAATGGCACACCTTTAATTCTTGGAATTAAATCTGCTTTTTGGAACAAAAGAGCTGTAAAATAGCCCTCAGTAACTGCAATACTGTTTCAGAAAACAGCAGTCTTTAAAGAGAAGACAAAAATGTGGCAGCATCATAATCCTGTGTGGGTAAGCATCTCAAACTCTTCACTGTGAAGTATTCCTGCATTATTCATTCTGAGAGGGACAGTAACCCAAGATAAAGCCTTTTTCCTCTTCTTATGAAAGCTTCCTTACATTTTATTTACTGGGCTGCCTTTCAAAAAATTCAATAAGCAAGAAAATGCTTTTCCTTATATATTTTAGGATTCTTCTTTACCAGCTCCAAACCAAACAGGCACAGTGTGAATTCTCAGGAAGAGGGACATTATATGCAACAATATTGCTCCACACAGGGGCTGGGAACTACAGCCCACAGTGCCTTATATCCAGACTTTCATGATGTCACATCCCTGCAAAACCCATTACATTCAGGAAGGTACAATATCACTTAATGTTTATATGGCTGTTATTTTAAAGTGGTATTTTTCAAGTCCAATATAGCTTTCAAATCTTTATCTGGATTATGTGTGAATTAATGGAAATAACAGTACCCTAACTATTGCCAGTTCCAAGCATGCAGCTGATATCCTCCAAGGGCTGAGTGCTGGTGCACACGTGGCCATGGGTGCTGGAATATGCACTTCAGTTTACACTCATGGCTTCCACCAGCCAGGCCTTACTCCTTGTAACTGTAAATCCACCTCAGTTCTTAAAGAAAACCAACACTTTTTCTTTCCTAACAGCAGGTATGGACTGCCAACCCCCACAGTGGTTATACAGCCATTTAATGCACACAGCTCTCACTGACTTCACTGGGACTTTTGCATTTTTTAGTTAGAATGGGGAGAGAAAATTCCTTTAAGGCAAAACACCAACATTTCAACTATGCTCCTGCTCTATCCCCCTACACTCTCCTCCCAGTGAATCACCTCTGAAAAATGCTTACATTCCACCAACATGAGAGCAAGAAGCATGACTCTTCTGAACAAGGAACACACTGAAGCCAATCTCATTTCTTTTAATTATTTATGTTCACCTTCCATACCATGGACAGAGACCTACAGTTTTGGGTTTTCCTCAGCTGTTTCTATTTGAAACACATTACTGCCACAGAAGTCCCAGTACTACAGTCTGGGAAAACAATGGAATCCCCTGCAATCTTATCTAAAGGATAGCTGCTAAACTGAGTGACAGCATTCCCCATCCCCCAACACCTTCCCCATCTCAACACCTTGAAAGAGCTGATAGAACATTGTAGAAATACTTTCTCATTTCCTCAGAGCACAGTTTCTAGAGATTGAAAATGAAGCAAGGCCTCTTTCTAGGAATATCTGAAAAGACACCAGGTTTCATTCAAATACAATTTTATAAGAAAATACCTGACATGTTCTTATATGTCAGGAATACTTCATTTCCTCCATGCAGCACCCTGAAATTTTATAAAAATTTAACAAGAAATGAAGGAGGCTTCTGGTGCAGCTCTGAATGTATCATACAGAATGTGGCCACTCTAATGAAATAAAAGCACACCAAAATAAAAGCTGCCAAAGAAAAGAATGAAAACAAGGAATCTCTCATAAAGCAAGTAAAAGGAGTGCCCAGAGAGGACAAAGGTGAAGAGGCAAAGCTAATCTGCAAGGAGTAGGTCAGGCTGAGCAACAAGAAAAGCAGTATGTTCAGCCTGGAAAACAAAGGTTGAGAGAAAAGCTGGAGTGCTTCCTTTCAGTGCCCTGCCAAAACCCCTTCTAAAACATGGCTTTTAGATCACTTCCTACCTCAGCTCCACAAACCCTCTCCCATGAACTTCTCTTCAATCCCACCCACTCAATATACAACAGGACAATGTCAACTATTCTTTTGCTGGAAAAGGTCAGGATAAGTCTCTACCACCTTTATTGTTTTAATATCCATCTTAAGTCACATTACAGCTGTCCCTCTCCCCACTTATTTTTTAAAAGCATTAAGGAGCAGCTGAAACAGAAAGAGGTTTTTGAATGAATTCTGAGCCAAACTCATCAATTAAACTTTGTTTAAGCCTAGTTCCCTAAACATCATACCTTAAAATATACTCCCCCCACAAAGGGGAATATACCTTATCCCCCCCTCACTGCTCCAGGACTCTGCTTTGTGCTTGTTTCCTGAAAACCAGAATGAACTTCTCTGCCAAGCCTGGTAAGCACAGGACAGAGCAGTGCAAGCAGGAGCTCTCCTGAGGCCTCTGCAGCTGAAGGAATTCCTACCTGCTCTAAGAACACAGCATTTCCATGGAGCTGCTCTGGAGAAAGGTTTTGCAGGTGCATTTCCCCAGTGTGAACTGCTCCTCTCAGAGCACACGCTGGTGGGCAGAGACTGGAACTTCAGTTTCCCACATCCCAAGGCAGGTGTGATTTAACCACCAAGACAGCCTCTCCCCTCTGTGCTTCAGGTACTATTGGATCCCATGAAGAGAACACTCCCAGCAGGACCCAGCACTGCAGAGTCTCACTGCAGCTCACAGGTCAGGGAATTCAGCTGGGATGTGGGAAATCTACCTTCAACTCCCTACTTACCTGATTTAAAGCCTGATCTTGAAACTGAAATCCCTCAGAAGGTCAGTGCTGTTATCACATGGGCATACACACTGTCTTTTCCCCTCCTCTTTGTTCCAAAAGTTATGACCTGGGTTATAAAAGGCTGATGGGCCAGAAAAATGAGTAAGAAACACAGAAAAAGAAAGGATGTATGGGGAATGTGGTAAAAGACAAAGGGAGAGAGAAAAGAGAAGTGAAATGAGAGAAACAGAAGAATAGACAATTAGAAAGGCAGAGAGATGCGAAAGGGGAAAATGCAACTTGGTCCTGAAGTTTATAAATTGATTTCCACCAAATCTGTCATCACAAGCAAATTACTTTAACTGAACCAAAGAGCAGAAAACATGCCTTCCTTAGCTTTTAGCCTTCACTATTCTGAAATACCAACACTCTCCCTTGTAATTCACAGTCTCCTAAGACTATCCTCAATCTCCCTCCTCCCCACACCCTGTGCCTAAATCTTCCTCATTTCTTTATACACACCAATGAATCCATTCTTTTGGCCAACATAGCAACATCTGGGACACAGAGTTAAAGCCATATTTACCTTTGATTTTACACATTTATATAACAGGAACAAGACTAACTCCAGCTCACTCTAACCTCCAGTTCTGTAGATGACAAGAGGAAGTTACTGTGCAACCTGTTAGCACCAACAGTAACCCTGAACTCTCTGAAGCTGTAATGTGGCCAGCACTTCCCTTTGCAGAATTTTAAGATGCACCTCAAGCCTCAAAAGAGTGACTTAATTTGCAAGTTCTTTGCCTTACCTCCAAAGGTAGCGTGACTGGCGGCGGTGGCTTTTTCAGTTCCTCACATTTTCTCTTTTTGCATATCCGGTGGCTGGTTTTGCGCTTCCTGCAGCAGCTGCACTCCTCACAGTTTGTTTTCCGCAGACAGGGCTCACACACTCCACAACGCCTTCGTTTCTTTTTCTCCAGCATAGGGAGCAGAGATGAATATGGAAGAGGGTAATCACCAGCTGGATTTTTAAGAGAGTATGGCCCTGAGGCCTCAACTGCTTCAGTGCTGTTGCTCACGTTGTTGTCCTGAACCAAATTCAAGCTTACTCCGACACTTCCCAGCTGTGATGAATAATCATTATGCTGCAGTCTTGAGTCAGCTGGCAAATCTGCATTTATGGCTTTTTCTGAGGCAAGAGCAGAGATTTCCATGCTTGAAGGCAACTCTGAAACAAAACCTGCAGAGAATTGTCCAGAGCTTTCAGCAGAGATTTTATCAACTGTGCTTCTTCCTAAATCTGAAGGTAAAGTGGGGACATATCCTGAATTCAAAATTAATGTCTCTGCATCAATACATTTAACAAGCTGTTCAATGTCCTCTACTTCAATATTGTTTAAAGAGGTATTGGAGACTGGTTCACATACTCTAAATATGTTCTTTGTGTCAAATTCTGAATTCTCTTTTGTAAAGCTCAAATCTGAATTTGAATCAAGTTCTCTGTGAATGGGTACAAAATCCACAACCAGTTTCATGGGGTATTCTGCAAGTGAGCTTGCACCTTCAAAATGTAAAAGCAAATTTGATTCAGAGGCAGCTACAGAACTGGAATTTGAACCAATGTCTTTATTCTCAGATTCCAAACCCCAGCCTGCCTTCAAGCAGGAATCTGCCAATGACCTTGCATCTTCTAATAAATGTTCTTGTGAGTTAAACTCAGAGGTAACTAGAGATGCAGAATCCAAGGCTTGTTCTTCCCTAGGTAGCACCATGTCCAACCCTGCTCCAATGTGGAATTTGGCAAGTGTGACTGACTCTATCAGTACTGCTGAGCTGAGGCCTGAGGTATCAACAGAGCTGGAGTCAGGTTCTGTACTGTTAGGCACCACATTGAAGGGAGCCTCTGCATGCACCTTCGAGTTTGATTCAGAGGCAATTCCAGAGTCAGAAGGAGAAGATGGAAGCACCAGTGCAGCATCTTCAACAAATGCTTCAGCCAAACTACCTGTACCAAGATCACTGAGTATCTGCTCACAGGGCAGGTCTTCAAGCTTAGATTTCACCTCTGAAGCTTCTGTACCATCATCAGTTAGGTGACTGTTTGGAATGGAGTCATCTGTTTCAGATATTTCTGCCTCCTCCTGCTGGCTGGCACATGGGATAACAGAATCCTCCTCACCTGCACCACACAGCCAGCCTTCCACAGGCAGAGCAGCTAACTCACCTTCAGCTACATCTTCTTTCAAAGCTGTTTCATCATTTTTCTCATCTACTTCTGCCAGGGCTTCTTGTTCATGTTTTTCCTTTGTTTCTATCCTTTTTTGTGCTGCGGCTTTCCTGGGCTTTGCAGTTACTGGAGTTTGGGCCAAGCTTCTGGAGAAGGGTCGGTTCCGGAGAGCCATTGTGAAGCCATTGATGCTGAAAGAATCCTGGCTGTGGAAGAGGATATTGTCAGCTTTCTCCAAACTCACCCAAGATGCTCCAGACAAGGTTACACTGCTCCTGAGAAGTCTACCTGAAGAGCTCATGATTGGTTTCTTTTCTTGCTGTTTTTTCTTAACATCTTTTTCTTGCACTGGCTTTTTACTTTTTCCAGAACTAACAGCTTTTGTGGAAGCCTTTGTAGTTTTCTTTCTCACTTGGCTAGATTTCTTTTTGCTCTGGTTAGTTTTCCTTTTGCCTAACTCTTCTTTTTTGGCTGATCTGGAAGGCCTGGCATGGTGAGCCATGTCTGCAGAGCAGGAGCAATGTTAAGAGAAGAGATGGAAAAAAATCATGAGCTCTTGAGAGACCTCTTCAGTAGAAAACTGCATACTCCCATTGCTGCTTTCTGTGCTCATACAATGCCAACTCTGAAACAGAAAAAGATACAAAACAGCATTAATATACTTCTAATTTAAAAAGGTGCACATATATTCAGCTGACCATTTTTAATATTTAAAAATACAGAGCTAGAATCAGAAATAGCAGTATTGGGCGTTATGGTCAACTAGCACAAATGCTTTTAAAATATTAGTATACTACAAAATAAAAAGCTTGCCTAAAGGCCTGTAACACAAACAAAAAAGCAAACTGAACTCAAATGACCAGGAAACATCACATATTTACTATTTTATGTCAGTACTAAAAAGTTTGAGTTTTCTCAATTTTATGAACAGTTCATTAACCTATATACTTCCCCTGAGTAAGGAGAAGTTAGTATTTATCAGTGTAAGGACATTCAGGAACAAAAGAACAAAGCTGAGTTTATTTTTTGTGCATATTCAATATATCATCACAGGGCATCTATCATTCTTTCACCACCCACTGGCAGCCCACCATGGTAAATTTCCATATAAAATGGGTAAGTAACTAGCTCCCCAAAGAGATCAACCTGTGATTTTTATAGGGGAACTGGACTAGGGAAGAATGATCTTTCCCAGTGTTACCTTCCAGAATACCTTCACAGCACAATGTATTACATACTGTGCCTATATCATGTTTTATGCAAGGCAGATGTCTCTGCTTCATCACTAAGACTTAATTTACCTTCAAAAAACCACCACGCATCTGTCCCAAGCTTTTGTCCCCAGTCACAACTGCAATGCACAGGTCCCCCAACTCCCCAAACAAACTGAACCATCTCAAAAGATACAACAAATTTCTCATGCTCCAAACCAATTTCCTTCAAGGTGAGTTTTTTTAAAGTAAAGAAATTCTCACAAGTACATATTTTTAAGCAGATGGAGCTATTTAAGTACCTATAGAAGGCTTTAAAAGCTTTATTTTGCTCTATGAATATATCACATGGGTAGACAAGGGCCCTTAAAATGGGAACAGGCAGAGCCAGAGTGTCCAGCAGGAAAGTACCTTCCCTTCACCATCATTCCTTAAGCCTCCTCCAGGCCTTCTACACCTCTCATTGATGGGAAGAGGCCAAGAAGAGGAAGAACAAGAAGTATGGGGATGATGTCTAAAATCCTGACCTCAAATGGAAGTAAAAGAAAGGGCATTTGGCTCCTGAAGGAAACAGAAAAGGAAAAAAGAGAGCAACCAGGTTCCTGACAAGGTTCCTGATATCACCACTCCACTCCTGTGACCTCAATCCCCACCTTGAAGCCAACAGGGTGATCTCAGGGAGGCTGCACTTCCCCACAGCCTGCTCTGAGCTCTGCTGAAGGTGGGGAGAGTTTTCTACTGCAGCCCCAAGAGCAGTGTCCCCAGCACAGCCAGCTCCCACGGCCTGTGTGGGCACCAGCTCGCTGGTCCCAAAGCAGCACACTGGCAGCTGTTTGTCACAGCCCTGGCCGGGCTGCCCAGAGGCCACAGCACCCACCAGGGCCAGCAGGAACTCCCCAAACTCCTTCTCAGTAGCTTATTTAAAGCATTTTGTAGCCTGTCTCTTATTTATTCAGCTGTGGCAAGCCAACTGATCCTCTGTACTAGCACATACAGACCAAGTAATCTTATCTGAACACGATGGGATTATCTTGTATCACATCTTCATATTGCACATCAGATGAACGTGATTCCTCAGCCAGCAGGCTTCTTCACACACACCAATACCACTTAGAGCCAGCAGTGCTGCACAAGACAAGGCTAAAGACACTTCTCAAAAAGCAAACAGTGCCCACCAAACACACAGGGAACAAGCTGAATCAATAGCTGAATCCCTCCTCCACAGCAACACCTCCAAGCTGCAGGGACTAAGCAGACACCACGTGCAGCTGTTTATAGTCGTGGGTGAAGCTTCAAAGGTCGCACAAAACACCTAAACAGCTCCCACAGAAGCTCTCTATAAAAGCTGGGTCAGACAGTGAAACAGTAAAACAAACACAAGGCTGAAAGGAAGGTAACTCCTCCCCCTGCCCTTCTCCGGAGCACATGGGGGAAGGGGACATGGCCATTAGGAGTCACTCCATGAATCAAAAAGGGCATCACATCAGCAGGCCCATGAAATGGTTGTTGGCAGCCTGCAAAAAGCCTCCCCAGTTTCTTGGGGTTGTGACAGAGACTGGGATCCTCATTCCAAAGGATGGCCTGGAGGGCTGCAAAACCAGCTGGAAGCAAGCAGCAGGCACATCTGCAGCCACAGCAGAGGAGCTACCTAACAGTGGCAGGAGAAGAAATGTGAGCTACTTTCAGAGCCTATAGCCAGGAGACCAAGGAAGAAAGCAAGCCATCAACAAAGGCCAGGCAACACAGCCATGTGTGAACCAGGAGGGGGACTGAAGTGATGAAGTCTTTTCTCTTCATCAGCTCTAAAACAGAAGCAGAATGACCAGAGAATACAGGAGGTCTGCAGTGGAAACAGTGAGTGGGTTTTTGAGAATACTGAATGTGAATGATGCTTTGCTCATATTGTTTGCTTACACAAGTAGCTGTTATTGTGGAAGTTCAGGAAGCATGACCATCAAAAATATCAATCAGAAGCTTAATTTCTAAGAATTTGGTAACTTTTAAAACCATTACTACAACTACATTATAATGTCTTTATGTGCATTTGGACAGGGATAGGACATGGGGGAATAGCTTCAAGGTGAAGGAGGGAAAGTTCACATCAGATCAGAAAGAAGTTGTTCCCTGTGAGGGAGGTGAGGCCTTGGCACAGGGTCTGCCCCTTCCCTGCAAGTGTCCCAGTCCAGCTTGGATGGGGCTTGCAGCAACCTGGGCTAGTGGAAGGTGTCCCTGCCCACAGCAGGGGCTTGGAATGAGATGGGCTTTAAGGTCCCTTCCCACTCAAACCCTTCGGCAACTGGATAATTTGAAAATTGCAAAATAGTTGCTTCAGGACTGAAGAGGCAAAATCAACCTGGAATTCTTTGGTTGGTTTTGTCATTTAAAAAAAAAAAAATTAATACAGGGAAACACACCTGTCTAGCAAGAATGTAGAAAACTACCAATGCCAAAGCATTGCTTCTCCTCAGGGCCAAAATTACAGAGGCTATGAACAGAGTGGTTCAAGACTTCCCTATTTTTGCTAAAAAAAAGAATGCTGATATTCGTAGGAAATTGCCTGGCTTTAAATGCTGCATTATAAAAGATGGCAAAGGCTTTGTCTGACTCAGAGATGACAATACAGGGTCACAAGACCAGCAACACTTTAATCCATTTTGTTTCATTTTTGGCACTGGAGTGACTTTAGGTTTTTCAGAAGAGATCTGAATAGACCCCCAAAGGAATTTTTTTGGGGGGTAGGGGTGGATGCTTCACTTTAGTTGTATTTGTCTGGGACTCTGAGTGCCCAACCTGCAAGGTGATCTTACAGTCTCAGGCAAAATGGTTGTTAGCAAGACGTCTCTGCTTCCCTTAAAAAACCCCAGTCTTGAATGCCAAAACCACCTTAACTGCTAGCTAAAAACTGTCTTGACATTTTAAATAACCTGGCCTATAAGTTACATGGCTATTTCTTTGTTTCCTCTTCCACAGTCAGCACCAGATTATTAGGTAGCTTCAAGGTTGGTTTTCAAGTTTTGTTTCCTGTAACACTAGGAAATATTTTATCTTCCCTTTTCCATTTAAAGCACTGGCGAGGACTGTTGATATCTGCAGCAGTTGCAAATCATCTCATGCTGCTTCTAAAAGACAACAAATGGCTTTACCACATTGGTCATATTTCACAACAAGGAATTAATTCTATTTCCAAAACATCTACATGCACTCAACAGGGCTATAAAACATAAACCTCACAGGGCAATCTAATAACTTGTCAGTTTTCTATCATCCTGGAGAGAAAGAAACTTATTCCATGCTTTCTTCTGAAAGCCCAACCAGGTGAGACCTGCCATGCCTTCCCTGGCAGGGGAGCACAGGTGTCCCTAGGATGTAAAAGGGGCAATGGGTGACAGGAGGTTTTGCAGGGAACTGCCCTAGATAATATCAGTGCATCCTGAAGCTGTTCCTTGAGGCAACTTCTCTCTCCTAATCCATGTGCAAAGCTGAAAGCTGGGTTTAATGCCAGTTGCTTAAGTTTTGCTCATTTGCGGTAATAAATCTGGAACAATTCTACTGACTGCTATAATCCTCAACAAATACTGCTAGAAAAGCTAATCAAAGGCTAAAGCTTTTAGTCCTGTCTCCTCTCAAAATTCCAAACTATTATAATGAGAACTCTACCTACAAAGTAATTAAGAAATTTAACCCTATACTGTAAGAATGCCTCCAGAAAAAAAACAAAACCAAAACCAACAAGCCAAACCTACCCACAATGTTTCACTTTACACAAATGGGTAAAAAAAAGATAAAGCAAATTTTCATTCTAGAGACTGTGTCAATCAAGATTCTGTTACATAACTTGATCCTTGTTGGAAGATGGCAGGGGAAAAAGAAAGATATTAGAAGTGCTCTCATAAAAAAATGATGGCAGTTTTTTTATGGTGTTGTGAAAAATGGTGAGTGACCTCTGAACAAACAGAGCAGTATAGGGAAAAAATGACACAGCTAGCAGTCACTAGCCTCACTAGTCACCTGGTTTCACTACAGTCAGATGTACTTCAGTACATTTTGTTTCAGTGTTTAGGTATCTTTTAAAAAGTCCCTTGAGATGTGCCCTTAGGAGAAACAGATCTGAAGGTTTTCATAAGAGCCACTCAATAATATGCAGGTCCCAAGCAGTAAGGGCCACAATGTGACTAAGCTGACATGCAAGCTCAGATGCACAATTTAGAAGTCAAAAACACCTCATCTTCTGGCAGCAAATGCTCTAGAGGAAGATGCAAGAGACACCAAAGGAGACAGACCTTAAAAATAT